TCTTACACCCACTTTGAACCTCATTTCAATTCAGTGGAACAGAGCTTCTTGTAACTGCGAATGAAAAAGAACATCAACAGCTTTCTAACTTTGGATCTGTGAACAAACCTCACAGCCCGGGCCCTCGCCAGGAGACCCAGACAACTGCTGGTAAGAGCTGTACTCTGCTCTTTGCAAACCTCCTTAGCCCTGGGATCTTGGTAAGCTTTGCAAATACCAAATGAGCATCTGGATTTCCCCATGAAAAAGGCAGAAAGGGAGGAGACCATATGAAGAGAAGAGAGAGGGAGAACATACAGCAGCCTTCCAGTATCTAAAGGGGCTACAAGGAGCCTGGAGAGGGGCTTTGGACAAGGGCCTGTAGGGACAGACCAAGGGGAATGGCTTTAACCTGCCAGAGGGGAGACTGAGATGAGCTCTTAGGCAGAAGCTCTTCCCTGTGAGGGTGCTGAGGCGCTGGCACAGGGTGCCCAGAGAAGCTGTGGCTGCCCCATCCCTGGCAGTGTTCAAGGCCAGGTTGGACACAGGGGCTTGGAGCAAGCTGCTCTAGTGGAAGGTGTCCCTGCCCGTGGCAGGGAGGTCAACTACATCATCTTTAAGGTCCTTTCACACCTAAGCCAGTCTGTGATTCTTTGATTCTGTGATGATCAGAGCACAATTAGTAGCCAAGGAGGATTTCTGAGGGGTGGCAGAAGGATGATGTGTGGCTGGACCAGGCTTTCAGCTCCCTAATGTCAGCAAGAGAACTTTGTCTTTTCTTGCTGTGGGCTTTTTAGCTCCTGGAGCCAATGGGATGGTGAGCAGGGCTGGAGATACATTGAAGACACAGCCTTCTTCAGACAAAGCTCATGCAGAGCTGCAACCATCAAGTTGACCTAGATCCTGGACCACTACCCACCTCCCTGCTGGAAGATGCTCTATACCCACCTACTTATTGTCATTGCAGCAGTCTATTAACACTTAGTGGTGAGAACTCAATGATCCTAATGCCAATGCCCTATGGACTACTGTCTGAAGCAGCCAACCTGCTCTTCAAAATGTGTGTTCTGGGGTATAGGAAGGTGCATGGGACAAATTCACCAAGATTAATCTCAAAACAACACTCCAAAGGCTACAAAACTTCACCTCAGAACCTGTCAGAACTGACTTTTCAATCCTTCCTTACTTAGCCGTCACACACAGGATTAACGGCAGTCCAGTAAAAACACAGCCTTATCCTGGTAAGAAATCATCCACACATTTTAATGTGCCACCTGCATACACTGTGCAAATCTACAAGGCCCTAAATATAAACAGACAGCCCTTTCCTGGCTGTTAAAATGAACACTACCTCAGCTTGTTCTCCAAGCAAGCCCAAATTACAGCTGCTTGGAGATCAGAAACATTTCAGGGTGGGACACTTTCTGCTCCCCCCCCCTTCGTTTTACAATGTTTGTAGCTTTATGAATAAGGCATTCATTGTGCCCAAACCCCAAAGATATCCACCTTGGAGGGAGAGCTAAAATTAGCATGAAGTATAGTCCCAACACTGTCAGGAGAAAAGACGGCTCGTGTGGGATGCTGGAGATTCGTCAGGCAAAACAACATCCCTGCAAAGGCTGGGTCGTGTGCTGCACCTCTTGTTGGAGAGCCAATGGTTTTGCACTAACCCCCCATACACACTTGTTTACCTGTCCAAAATAGTTAGCTAGTCCTGGAAAGTCTAGCAGGGTCAAGTAGTGCCAGCACATGCAAGCCTGATGCTTTTATCAGCACAGGATCATAGAATCGTAGAATCACAGAGTGGTTTGGGTTGGAAGGGACCTTAAAGCTCCTCCAGCTCCAACCCCTGCCACGGGCAGGGACCCCTTCCACTGGAGCAGCTTGCTCCAAGCCCCTGTGTCCAACCTGGCCTTGAACACTGCCAGGGATGGGGCAGCCACAGCTTCTCTGGGCACCCTGTGCCAGCGCCTCAGCACCCTCACAGAGAAGAGCTTCTGCCTAACAGCTCATCTCAGTCTCCCCTGTTTAAGTTTGAAACTTAACAGTTCAACTTGCCCCTTTTAAACAGGGGCAAGGCAAAAGAAACCTCCTCTTCACTCCAATTTGGGAGCACATGGCCAGAGGTCCCGTTTATGACCTGCTGCAAGAGAGAGGGATGGGTCAGTCAGCTTGCATGCAAAAATCCAGAGCAACTGGGTAAGGAAAGCAGAGCCTCCCCTGATCACACTGGCTGGAGTGAAACCAGGTATATACCTGTGTGTACATATGTACATACACACATATATGTACACATATATCTATATATAACCTGAGCATGCCCTTGGTACCGCACCAGCGAAGGGCACGACGGCAGTCATGCTGGCAGGCAGCATGTGTGGCACACAGCCCTCCTTTCCCTTCCCAACCTTTGCTTACATTTCATCAGGTCTACTCTGATTCCAAGGTTTAATAAAATGTAATCCCAGCATGTCCTGAATTAATTAATGTGCTCCCGTTCCAAGCCACCGTGCCAGTGTCTGCAATTACACTCTTACAGAAGAGGTAGGGACCGGCTGCATCCATCCCCTAAGAGGGAGCAGCCATGGACCAGCTTCGTGAGCCAAGTCATGATGCTTCAAAGGGGTTGATTTCAAAACACTTTGATTTTGTTCCCCCGTTATCTCCCCACTAGAAAAACTCCTGCAGGTATAAACAGTCACCTCCTGAGGTCAGCCCCACTCCACTCACAGCCCTCAGCAAAGGGGTGGGAAGGAGGCACCTGCAAATCCAGGTTTTATTCATCAAAGTCCATGGTACCCGGTATCATCCAGTCCATATGCTCCAACTACAGCTATTTTGCCCACTTCCCTATGCTTCCCTCCTCAAATCATCACTCCCTGAGAGAAAAAAAAAACACACAAACCTGGGATTTTTTTCACCTGGAACAAGCTGTGGGAATTCAGGAGAAAAAGGGGTACTTTGACAGGACAGCAGCATTATTCCCTCTGCTGATCTTCCCTCATGTATGATTTCCACTAAACAGAGATACACCATAGGGCACCCTCAAAGTGCAACACAGTCCTCCCAGCATTTTTAGCTCTCTCTGCTCATCTTCTTCCCTGCCACAGCTCAGGGAAGAGCAATCTCAGGTGCTCAGCAGCCACAGTGACGAGCGCAGCATAAATGAACAGACATGGACCACAGAACAGGAGCTATATCCCACCACGTCGTGGTCTGTATTGCACCATTTCCATGCAGTCTAATTAATTCTGATCTCAGAAGAGTCTCATCAGCTTTGTCTGCTGCCAGCGTGCTGGGCTGGGACCCTGATGAAGTGCAGTTGTTTACAAACACGTTAAAGCCTATTTCAACCCCATTGTTTCTCCCCCCCAGCTGCCCAAGTAGTTTTTACTCAGCTCCTGGACTTGTACCAAAACTAAAAATGACAGATTGCCAAAAAGGACAGAGACGGAGGGTGGAGGGAGGGAGGGATGCGAAGCGGCTAGACAACACAGCACATGAATTTATTATCCTGCTGCTTCTGGGAATGGAAGTCAGAAGCAGGACCAGGCTGAAGGAACACATTGCAAGAAACCATGGAATCCCAGCCTGGTTTGGGTTGGAAGGAGCCTTAAAGCTCATCCTGCTCCAACCCCCTGCCACGGGCAGGGACACCTTCCACTAGAGCAGCTTGCTCCAAGCCCTGTCCAACCTGGAAACACTTGTGAAATTAAAGGTCAGTGAGATAATGAGCTCTGACTGCAGCCAAGCAAGAAGTATTTGCTGATGGAGCCGGCTCTGAGCTCCTACTGGAGTGCCGCTACCTGCTGCTCCCAGGGTGCAAGACTTGTCCCCTTCAATTAACACTGGCAGATGAGACAAAAGGCCTGGCTGTGGCACAGCGGGGCAGCGGCTGCCACTCTCTGGGATGCTCTGCTTTCGTGTTATTTCCAAGCCAACAGCTTCTCCCTGAGAAAAGGGCTGTGGCTTCTGCATGGGCAGCATCACTGCCTCCCCCAGCTCCTTCGCATCCCCAGGGAACGCTGCTCTGCTGCCCATCCTACACCAGTGCATTGTAACTCTGAAAATAACCCGTGTCTGCTGATCAGCAGCGTGCCCCTGGCACTGTGAACCTGCCTGCAGACAGCAGTGCCATGGGATGTGCATCCCTATGCATAAAGATGCATGCTCCAAAGCAGGGAGCTGACAAACCCATTTTTCACACAAGGACTGTGTTCATCTGCCTCATATCAGCCGGGTGACTCCCAGCCCTTAAAATCCACCCAACACAGGTGACGGACCCTGAGCTGAGTCTCTACAACATGCTGGTGGTCAGTGTGCATGCCCAGCAGCTCAGCACCTTCTCCTGAAGGGTTCTCCAAGAGCTCTATGAACAATATTGTATTTCAACAGGCTTCACCAAAACTGGGCAAGCAGCATCCCTGAGGAAGGTGAACCTTCATCAGCGAATGAAGAGACTTCATGAAGGTTGCAAGGGTGAGCAGGGACAATGGGATTTGGGTACTTGCTGGTTATGTTGCTCAGCTACAAGGGGAGGAACCCAACAGTTGCTTCTGTCTCTGTTTCATATTAGGCAGCTAATGGGTAAAGACCCAGAAAGAAAACCACGCAGCAGGAGGGGAGATCTGCACCTTGACTGCTTTCAGAACATTAGAGCAAGCACCAGTACAGGAACACAGGCTACTCTGGATGGGCAGCTACAACAAAACCACCAGCATGGTGTAAGCAGAAATAAACTAACCCCCACCCAGATCAGTCCTCAAACCTCAAAACATCATTTTAAATGCTCAGTCACTGTATGTCTGCTCTAGGAGTTGCAAACCCCTGTGGCCACATCACTTTGGAGGAGCACAAAACCTGCAGAGCCCCCATCAGAAAGCAAACGTCCCATCAGAGCATCAGGCAGCATGGACACGGGTTTGAGCCCCAAAACACCAGGGCCACAGGCTCTGTGGTCCCCCGCTCCATGCTTCCCAAACCATCAGAGCAGGCACCGGAGCAATGGCTGAAACTCTTACCTGTGGACAAGCTGCTACAGGTTCATCTCTGATACCTCGAGGAGACTCAGGTGTTCATATGGTGACCTGGGAAATGGAGCCTAGGGAAGAAAACACGAGACCTTAATGTAATGAGGCAGTTTGAAATGTGTGCCATTTGTACCACAGACACATCTCCAACTGGGGTAGCAACTCGGGCATTTCTCTACTTGCTCCCATCGAGACAATAAGGCTTTTCTTTACTTGCCCTTTTACTCCTTATCTGCAATCCATCCTGCTTCTGTTTTGGCCTAAACTCTTGGCATTTTCTCTATGCTGTCCTCTTCTCACGTGGGACCCGGACAGGAGAGCAAATGCTTTTTAAGAATGTCAATGCAGGGATTTTTTTTTTCATATGTGAAATGATCATTTCCAGCTGCACAAGACAAGGCACAGGATGCTGCCCGGTGATGGACTTTCTAGTTCTCCTCAAATCACACCCCGAATGCAAGCTGGACCCTGTCCTGACTACTTCAGAGCTGGAAAATGAATGTGAGCATTGCCCCAGCCTGCAGCAGGGAGAGCTGCTCTGAGAACAGCCTGGGACTGAGCCTTCACTGCCAGCCCTGGTGCTGGTGGGGCTCAGCCTTAATAGGAAATTAAAAATCACAATGGGTTTTGGGAGGGTACCCAGGAAAAATAACGTTCAAAAGGCTGAGAGTGGCTTAAAGAGGAGCTGAAGAACAAAGTTTGCCATAATGCATCCTGGATGCAGGACAAAAGGAGGCATGAGGAAGCTGCTGTTGGGCACCTCTAACAGAAGTGCCTTCAGCCCCAGGGGCAGTGGCCCCATGCGTGGGGATGGCTGCAACCATTAGTTCTCATCAGATCAGACAAGAAAGCGAGTTGGAACTAGGGGGGCTTGGAACTGGATGATTTTAAGGTCCTTTCCATCCCTAACCATTCTATGATTCTATGACTGATGAGCCCCATTTCACCCACGTGGAAACCAGGGCAGGGAGGGCTGCAGCTTCCCAGTCATGGCCAGGCAGGGTTACCCTGACACCAATGCAGAGCCCACACAGCTCCTATGCCCTCAGCATGTCCTCACCACACTTCTTCCAACCCCTTCACATCCACCCATCCAGTTGCTCTTATAGTCATTTTAAATGCATTTTCCTCGTTAGGCAGGAGGAAATAACTACAGGCAGGTCAGACTCTAAGGATTTAATGGAACTAACACTGTTAGGCCATCCAGCAATTCTTCATAACATCTTCCCCACCATGCCTTTTGCTGCCAGCAATTAGATTAGGTAATGTTAAACCCGTATCCTCATTAGTGGCTGCTTCTGAAAGTGTGTTGGCACATGCATGCAGAGCTAGTATGAAGTGACAGAAAACTCCCTACAAGGTTATTGCAAAAGCACATATGTGAACATGCCTATATATGTTAACATATATTAATACTATATTAATATAAATATGTAATATAATGTAATAATATTTAATATAATAGTGATATAATATAGATATGTAATATAATATGTGTAATATAAACATATATATATATTTACTTGCATTTACATACAAGTAAATGCAATAGCAGGACAGGGCTGAATATGAATATCGAGAATACTTGCAATCATTGGGAACAAAAAGCTTATAAAACACCCTGCTCAATAGTTCCAGCCCCCCCCAAAAACCTACATTTATACGTTAACCTTGCAACTGTATTACAACAGAATGGTGTTTTCATTTAACAAGGGTGAAAGTCAAAAAGCGCTACAAAATCGGGTTAACAACCCATAGAGGTTGTGGGTAAATGTTGGTTTTAGCATCAGAACACAGCACCATGGACACGGCTCAATTAATGCCTGAAGCACGTGTGATAAACAAACATCCCATTCGCTGCTGGATTCTGTTAAGGGACTTTGCTGTCCCTTTCTCAAACATGAATTTACTGAAGGGTTTGCAGAGCTCCATAAAGTCCCAGCTCAGATCTCCCTCGTGTGTCCCACCCGCTGCTTGCAGAGAGCCAGCAGCGTTCATAAAACACCGGAAAACACTCACTGCCCTCTCACTGAACACGTACAAAACCCCGTGTGTAAATACAAAGAGCACTCGCTCAGTGATATCACAGAACCCCCTATTCCTGCCAGCTTCCAGAAGGGAAACAAGGGGATATCTATACCTGCCTCTCTGCTACGGCCGGGCACTGCTGCCATGTGTGCATGTGAAAATCTGCCAAGCTCTGCCTGATCCAGACAGATCCCACCCTGTGGTACTTCTACACAGCCCTCAGCCCATGTTTGTGCTCATTTCTGTCCTTCTGTCCCTTTTCTTTCCTTTGAGTAGCAGTGTCCAAGAAAGGGGGGCAGAGGGTGACCCCGATCATCATCCAAGGGGAGGCAGGTCCATCCCTCCATTCCCCTTGCTTGGCACCATGCCTCTCTCGCCTTCCCCAAAGGGCAGGAATTATACAGCAGGCTGCCAAAGAGGTGGAGCAAGAGAGGATCAAGTGCTGGTCCCAGTTTGGAAGCGCACGAGCTGCCTGTGCTCTGCCATAGCAGACTGTAACTGGCTGCGGCTGCCGAGCTGCGGTCCCCGGTGCCCTGGCTCCATCCTTCTGGTCACCGATGCACATAACGATGTGCCTGCGAGCGCACGTGCGGGCTCCTGCAGGCTCTGCTGAGGGATCGCATGTGAAACCTGGCTGCAGCACAGCGTTGCTCTATTTTACCTTCTTTACTGCTTGAAAAACATTTGGCCGTTGCTGGAGTGAGCCGGGCTAGACGCATACATTACAGCACTCTCCAGAAATAGCACATGCTGCCTTGTACAGTTTTGCAGCTAAAATGCTTCCTTTCAGCTCAAGCAGCCTGTCCCTGTCCATGGAGCAGCTCTGAAGAAGGCAAACAAGGGCTCCAGAGCCTGTAGCTTGGGATGAATCATTGCACGAAGGTTTCCTGACTTTGAATGCAGGTGAACTAAGTGCAAGAGGCTTTGATTTCCTCTCCCTCACTGCCAGCTCCTGTGTATCTTATGCAAAGTGTTTAATGAGCTAATGAAGAAGCTGTACGTCAGAGCTGAGTTTAGCTTTGACCCTGCAAAGGGAGCTGTCTTTGAGGACGAGCTTCCCACCAGCACTGCTGTACCAGTGCACCACTGATGGAAGGTCAGTCTGCAGGACAAACACAGGTCAAGGCTTCTCTTGAAGCCATCACTCTTAGCAAAATATGATGGTTTCTGGTGATACAAGCCATCCTCAAGCCACAAAATAAGTGTCATTTGCAGTCTGAATCGGATTTAGGCTGCTGATCTCTGAAAAGGTCTTTATTTTCTCAGGTAGGTTCTGAGGTACCCAGTCAGGCATGACAGGTTTCGGCACAGGTTGGAAAATTAAACCAATTCCTGGAATAATGCAAGTTTATATCAAATTCTGACCCTTTCGGGACCCCATCTCTGAATATAGGCAAAGCACCCCCACAGTTGTTCAGACGTTGCTTGGCACAGTCTGTAATCATCACCTTGGGTGTTAACTGGAGACCACCATCACCAACAAAACATGACCATGAAACACCTATTAGCGTCCCAGTCCATGCCTGCAGACAGCGTTTTGCAACATAAACCCACTGAAAGTGCTGAAATCATTGAAGAGCCATCATACACATTGAAAAGCACGGTTGATGCCCGGAGGTATAAACCAACCACTTGGTACTGAACATGCGTCCCATCCATACTTGGAATATGACAACCCAGCATAAATTTTGTCCACTACATCAACACATGAAGCATTGCGTACCCGCTTTTTGGAGTGCCAGGACATGAGTTTTAACAGTTGATGAAGCAGCATTGAATGCCTTGTGCCTAGGATCACATGCAGCCACGAGGACTCAAGGCAGAGCAGTGGATGGATGCACTGAGGTGGAGCAGAAAGCAAGAGAGTCCTTGGCTGTATTCTGAGTTCTGCTCTAAGTGACCTTCTGCAACCTCTCTGCCAGCTCATTTGGGGTACAATGGTACCCCCTGCACAGGAGGATGGAGACCCAGCCTGCACCACAGACTGCACAGGAAGACCAAGTGCTGCCTACAAGGGGAAACCAGAACTCCCTCCCTGCTTCATGGGCAAGGCTCACTTTCAAACACATGCAAGATGAAGAGCAGCACACAGGGGCTATCACACACACATACCTCCTGTGAAACATGCTGTCTGGGATCTGTGCCTCTCTTGCTTTCCCCTTTCCCTGCGGGAAAACTCTTTTTTTAGGAAGGCAGTGCTGTTCAGTGTCCCCATCACTCAGAGTAAAAGGGAAAAATAGAGAATATTGGTATAGGCCTGCTATAGGAGACAGATTCTATTGCTGTAAGCATCTTAACCAAAGCCTGCAGCTATAGGGAGAGGCTAATACAGGCTCTTTGCTGTTCGCATCCCTTGCTCTCAACCCTTACCTGGTTGCTGCCCTGCAGGTTACAGCATTAACATGGGGTCAGAGGCTGCAGAAGTCATGATCTTCACCCACGAGTTGTGGTTTACTGCTGCCTGGTGACACCAGCGGCTTTCCTGGTCGCGTAATTTAACCATGATGTCCTGGGGACACCAAACCCAGCGCTGAAATCTCAGCCTTTACCCCTGGGAACCGCCTGTTTCACAGAGCAGAAGAGCGCAGAGCCCCGCGTGCTTCTCTCTTCCTACTAAGGCATTACAGAGTCTTTTTACATAATTAACCCAGACATTTTGCTTAGCATACTTGATTTAGTGCTTTTTTTAGGATGGGGGGGGGGAAGGGGAGAGACTGAAGGCAGCTGTTTGCCTCCTGGATTGCAGCAAAACTTCGGTGCTTTGCAACCTGGAAAACAGAGTCCAACATTCTGTACAAGTCCCGGCTGGTTGTTATAGCAACATATGCACGTGTGTGCGTGTCTGCATGTAAAGCAGACTCAAACCCAGGTTGTCACGGGCAACACAAGTCAGCTCCCAAAGTCGCATCAAACTTGCTGCTCTGCCTGGTGTCGTCTGAAGGCAGCAGCCAGCTCCAGCAGGGACAGGGAAACATCCTGATCTCTCACTGCTGGTGCCGGTTGTTGGCTGAGAGCTCAGCGCCGTCTCGCAGCTGATTCAGCTCCTTAAGAAGAGGGTAATTTTCTTTATCCTGTTTGCTTCCTCGCAGGCTGCCGCAGCACCTTAACCCAGCTGGGTAAAGACAAGCTCATGGCTCCCTCCCAAACAGATGGCTGCAAGGAAGGTCCAAAAATAATCTAACCCGTTTGCCTGTGAGTTTTGAGCCTGCTTTGCTGATTGGCAGACCCTCCAGAGACCACCAGAAGAAGCAGATGGTCAAGACATGAGATCAGAGCTGGAGACAGAGATGTCAATCAATAGGTTGGAGTAGCAGGCGCTGGGATGTGGAATGGAACAGGCAGCTACAGCAGCGCTAAGCAGGACAGGGTGCACTGTCCCAGAAGACAAGTATGTGAGTAATGAGCTGGCTGAAAAGTGTAGTTTTCACTTAAAATACATACATACATATATACACACACACATTTATATATATAAAAAATCATTTTAAATAATCACATCTTTGTCATGCTGCAAAAGATAGCCCTTATGTTGTTCCACCTCTGGAAGGATGTGCTGAGCCTGTCAATGACCCCAAGCAGACATAGATAAAATAGATATATATATGTATACGTGTGTGTATATATATATACACATAAACCCTAAATAAGTGAAAGAACAACCATACAGCCTTTGTAGAAATAAGAACAAGGCACAAAAAAAAACTGAAACGGGAGATTTAAGATGGGTATAACGAAGAAATCCTTTACTGTGAGGGTGCTGAGGCGCTGGCACAGAGTGCCCAGAGGAGCTGTGGCTGCCCCATCCCTGGCAGTGTTCAAGGCCAGGTTGGACACAGGGGCTTGGAGCAAGCTGCTCTATGGAAGGTGTCCCTGCCTGCAGCAGGGGGTTGGAACTTGATGAGTTTAAAGATCAATTCCAACCCAAACCATTCTATGATTCTATGATCCCTGTGAGTGCTTGAGAATCTCTTTGGAAAGACCCCTGCATACATGCAGATCCTGTACTACAAAATAGGCAGATGAAGAATGTTTCTTTTCCCTCTGGTAGCTTGTTTTTGTAGTACTGCAGACAGCCATGAAGGGGCTGTTCCATGGACAGGCTGCTCTTTGCTGCTCAGATATTCCTTGCACCTCTGGGTGCCAGCTTATGATTTGCAGAGGTGACTGGAGAAGTAAACCAGCATCAGCTCTTCTTGTTTGACACTTGCTGTTTTAAATGCTTATGCTCACCCTTCTGTCAAACAAAACCAAAGACTGAGCACATCAGGCAACCCCTGAGAAGTCTGGACCCCATCTCCTATAAAACAGAGCCCCCGGCCACACGCCTCTCGTTAGGAGCCAGACTACGACTGCACACAGCTGACCGGGTAATTTTAGCTGTCTGGAGAGTGCCAGGAGATGACAACATTTCTGCAGGGCTGCCTGGAGGGATGGAAGTCTGCAGGAGCAGAGGCAGAGCACCCGTCACCACCCTGCTAACTGGCCAGTGCCGAGGTAACACCACTAAGGCACATCTCAGTGTACCCCTGCCCTGCTGCCCTCCGGGTACAACGAGCACTTAGACTCTTTGCAAATAAAACTGTCTCAAATGTAGACATTTGTTACCCTGCAGCTTTGTTTTTGAACCCGTGGTGCAAGGTTGCTGTAAGAAATGGAATACTTGAGCATGAAGTATGTGTTACAGTGCTGCCTTATACAGCAGCAAAGTGATTAATTAGAATTTACAAGAGTAATCCAAATGCCTAAACATGTTTCTTGGCGGTAACTCCTAGAACCCGCTGCCAATAACATCTCAAACTAATGACAACCCCAAAGTCAACCTTTGGGAGCCATGAAGAGTCTCTCTCAACCAAGCCAATTGGTAATGGGAGAAGAACGAAGAGATACGCAATTCTTCAAGAGAAACAAAGCACTTGAATCCAATCATCTCAGGGGTGTCTGGCTCACACTGGGAATAGCCCTATCCCAAGCCACAAATACTGGCCAAAGCCCAGTTTTGTTAAGTATTATGCAGCGACATTGAAAATGCCGAATAAAGCTGTGAAACAGCCAAGTTCCCATCCAGCCCCGCAATCCGTGAGATCCTGAGCACTTCCAGCCAACGCTGAGCATGCCAAACACTTTACAAAATCAGAGGCTAAATTATTCCCTGGGAAGGTTTCTTCATCAAACTGCAGAGGACACAAGGTATTGATCACGCTTCTTCCCCGTTCCCCCCAAACCGACTCACGGAATAGAATCCAATAACTCGATACTTTGGGTAACCTTTGAAAACCTAAAACTGAAATTTCCTAGGGGCAACGCTTGAGACTAAATTAGAGTTGAGAGGGTAAAACTGAGGTTAAAGCTGATGATTTCAATGGGGAAAAAAAACGAATCAGGGAATTGTCACTTCGACTGTGTCAGGTTTACAGAGGTGTAACCCAACCGAGCAGGGCCGGTCACTGGAATAAATCAAATGAATGAATGGGGAGACACTCTTCAAAGGCTGATCTCACTGTGCTATCCTCTTAACAGCACATTCCCCTTGCAACATGTAAATAAAAGCCAAACTCTTCATGCACTGAACTCGTCTACACTGCCTGTTCGAGCAACTCCTTGTTTTCAGTCATGAGCGCTAAATGATTTCAGTGTTTTCAAAGCACACCAGTTGCTTCATGGTAATGATTTCACTGCCGTGAAGTAAACCTTGCAATGATGAATGGGAATCTTACTCATGGAAACACAGCTCATTTATAACATTATTTCAGACACTTAAATTAGTACGGATCAACCCAGTCCTACTGGAATAATAATTTTAGCAACAAGAGTTAAAACGCAAATGAAAAATCAAATGTTTTACCCCAAATAAAAATAACTGTGCTGTCCAGCCCCTTCTCTAAAAACCCCTCTCAGCTGCCCCTCCAACAGGAAACTTGCAATGGCAGAATTCCTGGATTCGGGAAGGAGATCTTTACAGCTCCCATGGAAATTCACTCCATTTTGCAAAGCTACCCACACATCTGCGCTTGCTTGGGGCTAAAGTCATCAGTTCCTCCTTGTCTCCCACGTTTGAATCTGGGGCACTGAGTCCCTGCTGCAGCCCATGCACCCTACTCAAGGGTAACACAAGTGATCATGCCCTGCTTGCAACAACTGCAACAGCCCCTTAAGAAAGGAACACTGGACTATAAGAGTGTGGACTATAAGCTTTCATGTGCTCCAGCCCCAGATCTTATGGCAACCCATAGTAATGTCATGATTTCCAATGGTTATAATATTGAGCAATATCTCCTATTGATCTTAAGAGGGAGGCAAATATAATTGAAAACTCATACAAATGAGATAGCAGAGAAGTTGCATAAGATCAGCTCTGGCACAGCTGGGAACAGAGCCCAGGACTGATTAAATCTGGCAAATCTCACCCAGTCAGATACATCCCACTTATTGAGGGACCTAGATTTGCTCTATGCTGTCTCTCTTAAAGACCACCTGCCCATAGGGAGTGTTGGGTTTTACCAGGGCTGTTGGGCCTGGTAAAGAACTGCTTAAGCTAATTAGCAAACTTGAGTTGAGGACCTGCATAAACCGTTCCCAGGGAGACAGGTTCATGCTGGGCTTGTTCAGCCTGGAGAAGAGAAGGCTCCTTAAGGGGAGAACTTAAAGCAGCTCCCAGTCCCTAAAGGGGCTACAAGAAGCCTGGAGAGGGGCTTTGGACAAGGGCCTGTAGGGACAGGCCAAGGGGAATGGCTTTAACCTGCCAGAGGGGAGACTGAGATGAGCTCTTAGGCAGAAGCTCTTCCCTGTGAGGGTGCTGAGGCGCTGGCACAGGGTGCCCAGAGAAGCTGTGGCTGCCCCATCCCCGGCAGTGCTCAAGGCCAGGTTGGACACAGGGGCTTGGAGCAAGCTGCTCCAGTGGAAGGGGTCCCTGCCCATGGCAGGGGTTGGAGCTGGAGGAGCTTTAAGGTCCCTTCCAACGCAAACCATGGCATGATTCTGCATAGAGGGGACAAGGCACTGGTGCAACCAGTTACTCGTGCAGCAGCAGCAGAGCAGCATGCTCCGTAAGCAGAAAAGAGCAGGTTCCTGTTCTGCAGCTGGCACAGGTCTGCCTCTGTTTGCATGTTCTAAAATCCATCAGAAGTGAGAGACGAGCTTTAATTAAAGAATGTTTAGTCGCAAAGTTGAGAAATGCCCAAATGACGTCTGGCTCCACCAGCTTCATTTACTCTGCTCTGCGCAAGAGCCGGGTTTTACACACGTGTAAATGCACCTTTTGGTGTAAGCTTTATAGGACCTCTGCCTTGCTGTGCTCCTGGATGGCTGATGAACAAGGTGGATCCAGCCAAGAAACCAAGGCCTGTGCTATGTGATATCAGACCAGGCTGACCTATTGTCTAGAATATCTTAATGTTTTTTTAATGATGTTTTCAAGCAATTGCACTTAAATTGTCAGATAATCTAATTCAAATGGGAATATTTCTCCTCCTAAGCAATAGTTCATTGTCCTTAAAAGCACCAAACCCAGGCTCTGCTCAGCAGAGAGGAATGCCGATGACTGACAGATGGGTGGATAAATGATCCTCAGACAAACTCAGGCTTTCTCTCCCTCGGCTGTTAACTCTTCAACTGCACAGATTGACCGTTGCATTAAAATCAACTGAGGCTACTAATTTAGCACAGTCATCATCTACACAGAGCTCAGATTCTTTCCATAGCCCCTGTATTTCCAAGTAGCCGGTCTGCTATGATGTGACCAAGTGTATGACATAAGTCCAATTACTTGAGGGTCAGCATCTGCAGAATGTGTCTATCTATAGCTTCAAAGTCATGTCTGATGTTACTGAGTATCTGTATGTGTAAAGTTACGGCAGTTTTCACGGCATTTTTGTGCACTCCTTGAAAAAAGGAGAAACAGAGTGACTTGCACACCTAAATAGGACTATCCTTAAGTACCAATGGAGAATAAAATAGTCAATGAGAATACATGATAAATAACTGAGCAAGGAAACCTTAGTAAGAGCAGAGAACCTGGGAGCTGAAAGTAACGGATATGTTCATCACTGACCAGCTAAATAATTTTTATTCCATGCTAATGTGATCAGTGCGGTCCATAAATGTTCACTTATCAAAAGTTCACTTTTAAAACTGGCTTCACCCCTGAGGATGCTGGAGGGTTTTACACACTTACACTAAAATATCCTCCCCGTCTGTCCTGCCCTGTGTCAAACCTCATCTTCCTGTGTTCAGTAGCTGCGTTTTAGTTCCACACTCTCAACAATACTGATTTTAGTTCACCACAACCATGATTTTCCTTGCCTCGGTGTTTAGATCAGTCTTTTCACATCCCTCAGAAGCCTCCAATTCTTTCCTGTCACTCTTGAACTCCCAGGAAGAAACCATTCTGCCCTGAGCCGAGCACCCCAGGGCAGGGATGGGAAGTGGTCCCTGCACCTAGGGCAGCTGGGGGGATGCTGCCTGCACCCTCCCAAGGCACCCACAGGTAGGAGTGTTATTGTTGGTATTTATCACTCCTTTACTGTTACCAGGGCACCCTGTCAGGAGACCCATTTAAGCTCTATTATAACTCCTTTTGACTGACAGGCAGAGAGTAATGAGTGTCATTGCCTGAGGAAGGCCAGACGAAAAGGAAGCTCTAAATAGACCTGTCAGAGAGATGCTAAAGAGCCTAATACATCAACTAAAAGCACCCAATGCATTAAAATCTTTTAATCTACCAGTCTTTCCATTTTAAATGTTTACCGAGCCCAGCATCTATAATGCTGCATAGGAAATATTCTTTTTCTTTATAAAGAATTGCAATGACCCGTCTAAGTATATGCTTGGGGTTCTTTTCATGAACAACAAGAAAAAGAGAGGAGGAGAACAGAAGCGGCAGGCTGCCAGGGAGCCGAATGCTTCAGTAGCTGACAAAAGACAAGAGAATTTGGGCTGATCTTTCTTTTTTTTTCTAAGAAGCAGCTTTGGAATGATGAATTCACAAGTTGTTATGGGAACTAGCAGCACAGATGATGCCCCAAAGGAGCACCGAAGAATGTCTATAGGATCTGGAGGGGTAATAATGTAACAGAGACATCTGTAATATGCATGGATTTCACCAAAATTGTATGACAAGTTGTAACCTAATACTCACAGTGCACGATCTCTGTGCCAGCAGGAAGCTATAGCCCATGCAACACATCAGACCAAAACTATGCAGCTCGGGTGCTCGATGGCGCGGCTTTGGCCCTCTCCCAGCCCTCCCAGGCCATCAGGAGAGTATCCCTCCTTGTTTATTTCCTTTGACAACACATTGATTTTTGGTCACAAAACCTCACATTTTCCAGGACCTCCACGCTTGCAAACTATGGTAACTTGGAGCACACACACACGTGTGCCAGGGAGGGAGAGGTGGAGGGGGGAGCTGCCATCTGCACCAGCAGCAGTTGGGGATGCTGCCAGCAAGTAGGACACGAGGAGCAGGGTTTATTTCTTTGCAAGGTGGCTGAAGCCATCACCTCTGCCCAGGCGATACAGGCACCTCTCCTTCCCAGCCGC